ATACATCTCTATCACAGCAGTCACAATGTCCTCTATCTTGGGTGTGTAAAGTTCTGGGTCCATGTCAATTTTCTGTTGTTGTTGTCATATCTAATGAAGAGCCTCAGATGACCACGTACATCTCTATCACAGCAGTGGCAATGTTCTCTATTTTGTGTGTGTAAAGTTCTGGGTCCATGTCAATTTTCTGTTGTTGTTGTGTCTAATGAAAAACCTCATATGCCTCTGTAGACATGAAAAACATCAATTCAATAATTGATAGTTTCTTGTATAATTTAAGAAAAAAATTCAATTTCAGTAATAAAAATAGAAAGTTATTATATTTATTTTGAAAAATCATTTCGAGAAGTTTTCTATTTGCATATCTTCGTAAAGGAATTTTAATTCATTATATTTATTACAAAAACATAAATATCTTTAAATTGATTTTGCGAATAAATAGTATTTTATACGTATGTTAATAAAAAAAGGTATGAAATATTCTAAATATTTTCTTTATAGTGAATACTCAAATATTTTTTTAAATATCAGACTAATTATATAACTGCTAAAAGTAAATATTTGAATCTGTTTTTATTTTTTAATATAAATAACTATTACACTATTTAAATAGAATAAATAATAGTAAGTTAGCGTTAAAAATATTCGATTCTGATTATTTAAATAATTTACTAAAGATAAAAATGGAGTTTAATGTTAATCAAACGAATATTTTAATATATGCGTAATGAAAGCAAACGATGCTTGAAATTGACAAGGCTTAACGAGTTTAAACGAAGCGAATAATAGAAGTTGATCAATTCGAGAAATGAAGATTAGGTTTAATATAGTTTTAATTGGAGAATTATTTCTTATATATTAAAAACACTATGTTAATCAATGATTATTTATTCCAACAAAGAAATACTATAACAAAACTATTTTTATAAGATAGAAAAATATTAAAATATCGCGCTTAAATTCATTTTTTCTAAAATTTATTCACGGATACAATTTTAAAGATTTTTGACCACGACTTCTAAGAGAAAAACGAATTTCATTGATTAAAAGGGAAGAAGAAATTGGGGCGCTCATTAGGTAAACATTAAATTCAGGGAAAATAGGGATTCTTTTGCAGACGAATGCAGGATTCTGTTCTATTCATTAAGGGCTCATGGTTTTTCATTCAGAGCCAGTTCGTCTGTTTTTTTTTTCTTTCTCTCTTAGCTTTACTTATCGATCGTCTGTGAATAAATGTTGTAAGTTCAATATTTAGAATTTTATTATGTTTGGTAAATAAATATCGATTTAAATTCCCATTTATTTTAATGGTGAATAATTATTGTTAACAATTATTTTACTTTACTTACGATTCTTTTATTTTCTTTTATACTGAGAGTTCATCTCTTACATCCATAAGTAGCCATAGGGAATACCAATGCACTCTATAATTCTCTCTTCTTCGTCTTTGAATAAATTCCTTTATCTTTCATAATCTTGTCTAATTTCACCATTGTCTCCTTTCCTAGTACTATTTTTCTTTTTACCTTTCTCTAAGCAACCTTCTATTTCTATAAAAATGGCATTTTATTCCATCAAAGACGGTATGGAATTATTGAGGACATTAATATATAGTTACATTCTGGCTTATATACATATGCATCTCTATTTACATATCCTATCGTAAAGAATAACAAAAATGATATAGGTGAAAACATTATGATAATTTGCCTAATGCCCAATAATTATAATTTATTTTCGCCATAATTAGAATTTTAAAATATAAATACAAATTAATTCATCTATAAATATGTACAAAATAAACGTAGGAGCCAGCGCGCGCGGGCGAATGCTACGACCACCACCGCGTGCGCGCGCGCTCACGAGTGTGGAACAAGATCTTTTTGGAAGTATACATGCACAACGCTTGCGCCCTTCCATTCGACCACGACGGATACGACATATATATATATTTATAGATGCATAATATATATTAAGATTTAAGGAGATGTTCACTTTGTAAATATATAGAATGATATGCAAATTAAAGATAATTTTCTCGAATTTTCATTTTTTAACAAAAAAAAAGACCGTTTATATGATTATATATTCAATATAATATATGATAATATACATCGTGTATTAAAAAAAGAAAAGTGGGGAGAATTTATTTGTGATAATAAAATTTTGCGCAAAATATTTTCAATTTTCGTCTACATATGGCGCAGTATTTCCATATATATAATCAAATTAACATAATGGTTCAACTGGGGTGGTAAGAGATTGGTAACAGGTTGGATATCGTCAAAGGTTAACCTAGCAACTATATATATAAGTTTGTGGGAAAATAATAGAAAAATATTTAATGGTCAGGTGTTGATATTAAAAACGCCATCTTAGATAGCTTCTTTTAATTCATCAAGAAAATGTGTTGGCCAAATATCAGGGAACAGGTTAAATCAACGTTTAGTTGATTTCTGCTCCACTAGATGGCGCTCTGCTATCTAAAATGAACATGCTCGTGGTCAGGATATGCCTTCTTTATTTTTGATATATATATTATATATATATATAGATGGAAAAATTGCCGGGAGAAAATTGATCCATAGAAGCATAGGGCGCTTCCCTCGTCAAAATAAACGTCAAAAAACTGACGCCATCTATTGACCGTCGCCGCAAACTAGCGGCCTCGGGTCGGTGACAAAGTCTCAACACCAGCGTTGGCAAATTGAGAACAACACCTCTTTGTTAGATTGTGAGGATGCCATTGGATCCCGTGTGGATCTCATGGAATAAAGTCCGCCCTAGACTGACGAGGACCATTTGCCCGAAACCATGGTCTCTAGGTGGACGCTTCTCAAATTTCCAAAGCTGGTGTTATGGGTTTGTCACCTACCCGAGGCCGCTAGTTTGCGGCGACGGTCAATAGATGGCGTCAGTTTTATTGACTTTTATTTTGACGGGAGAAGCGCCTTATGCTTCTATATTATATATTCTGAAATGCAATTATTTTATTTTTTTAAAAACATATATTTTATTTTCTTTCATTGACTGTTCTACATTTTTTGACCATAGATTCAGAACATACCACTTTAATTATTGTTGTAAATATGTATAGTTGAATCTACCTATTTTTCAGGTTAACGATTATAGAATTCATTCTATAAATTCTATATTGCTATGATAGATCATTTTATGTGTAAATTTACTTCAAGTAATTCGAAATAAAAACTACTTGAAAGGTAAATAACAATCTTTCCTTTTTAACGACTGTACCTACAATTCCCTACCTTTATCAACAACAAAACAAAAATAATCATAACATATATATATAATAAAATATTTTGTTTTTACTAGTTTTTATATAAGCCGTAGAAGAGTTGTCAATATTGGTAAATTTTCTATCTTGTTTTTTTATAATATAAAAAAAAAACTTTGTTTTACAGTTGTGAAATATAGGTAAACTATTCAATAAAAAACTATATGACAATATCAACTATTCATATTTGAAAATGTGGGATATAAAAGATGTGCCCTATCTAAAATCTCCAAGAATCTATAAAAGGAAATAGAAGATTTTTTTCTTGATAAGATTGAGGTTTTTACACACAAAGCCTCCACTTATTGGGTTTCAAATAGGTGGAACCTGATAACATCCAGGCTGGAAGAGTCATTTATTTGGTCTTTTCTTGCCCCGAATATTAAAAAAATGCATTAACAATACTTCATTGAATTGTATTTTATATTGTTGAAAATATCTGTCACTCCACATCGCCATATACTGTATATATCAATGGATGTGTTTGTTATGATTTCGACATACATATATATATAATATATATATATATATATTAACACATAGCAATAACGCGCCATCTATACATATAAAATGAAAGGATTTAAAAGCACGGATGTTTCTTTTATACATAATACAAACTTCTACTGCCCTTACTGCGATGAAAAATGCCCTCCCAATATATTTTTTCATCGCGGTAAAGGCAGTAGAAGTTTGTATTATGTATAAAAGAAACATTCGTGCTTTTAAATCCTTTCATTATATATATATATATATATGTTTATATATATTTATATCAAAAATATTATGATATCAAAAACAGAATATGCCTACTTTGTTTTCAATATATATATATATATATATATATATATATATAGTGTAGAAACTATATAACAAAATTATAACAGTGATTCTACTTTTAAAACTTAAGGAGCAAACTGATAATAATGATAACTTATATCAATTAGATTTATAACATTTTACAAATTTTATAATTTGAATTTAAATGATCATAATAGTGAAGATAATCTGAATACAAAACTGGACTATAAAATTAAATAACTATTTAGTATTATATACATATATATATATATATATATATAAGATAACATGGTTCTGTCTTTGCTCTTTATCTTATCCTAATACCTTCAATTCTTCCTTTTTTTTTCTATGTTCGGCTTAAATGACGCGTAATTGCCGAGGCTACAGCGTGAACTTGTTATAACCCTATGTTGTTACTTTAAAATACAAAACCTTTTTGATACCTTAAAAGTAATATTTTTTATAATTTGTTTTTAATTATCAATACTCATTCTCTAATACAACTATCTTTCTTATAAATTATATTTAATTCTACTTATATATATATTTGTTGAATATCGAGAAATTCATTTGCCTAATTAAGGGCATATTTTGGATCAAATATATATATTTTTAAATTCGATATCACGACTAGAGTGAGAATATTTCTTAGAAGAAGAAATATCGAATTTTAATAAATATATTTGATTCAACATATACCCTTATTTTACTATATATATCTGCATAATATATTTTAACAACATAATATAGTATGTAAAACGAAAATTGCAATTATACCGCGAATATTTCTTTTAAACAAAAATCGAAATCTATTTTAAAGAGAAATAACGATTATTTCTAACTTTAAGGATGAAGTATGATAGGATGAATTGTGAAGAGTAATGACAAACGGAAAAATAAAAGTGCCCAGGGGCGGGAATCGAACCCACAACCTTCTGCTTACCGGGCAGGTGCCATGTCCACTAGGCTACCCTGGACGTATTTTTCCGTTCGTAAATAATATTTAAAGTAACTTATAATACATTTAAAATGTATTAAATAATATTTAAAGTAACTTATAATACATTTAAAATGTATTAAATAATATTTAAAGTAACTTATAATACATTTAAAATGTATTAAATAATATTTAAAGTAACTTATAATACATTTAAAATGTATTATAAGTTACTTTAAATATTATTTACGAACGGAAAAATACGTCCAGGGTAGCCTAGTGGACATGGCACCTGCCCGGTAAGCAGAAGGTTGTGGGTTCGATTCCCGCCCCTGGACACTTTTATTTTTCCGTTTGTCATTACTCTTCACAATTCATCCTATCATACTTCATCCTTAAAGTTAGAAATAATCGTTATTTCTCTTTAAAATAGATTTCGATTTTTGTTTAAAAGAAACATTCGCGGTATAATTGCAATTTTCGTTTTACAATCATCAGCCGCGTTATATT